TTTTTTTTTAACATTCCCTTGGGTAATGCTAGGAGTGCTGATAGGAGCAGACACCTCTAGCACCCCCTGGGCAGGCTCCATCTATTACGGGGCTTTTTTTTTTTTTTTTAACATTCCCTTGGGTTACTTGCACTCTTTAGGCCCAAATAGGAGGCTGGTTGCAGGGGTTCGGTTGGTCGACGATCTGTCTATCTTCGTCGCGTACAAGGTCGGAGATAGACGAACTCGGGAGAAAGCCGAAAGTCTGTTACGGGGCTTCGAAGTGTGTTATCCCCGTAATCTCACTCTCAAGCGGACTGACGACGGGGCCGAGATGTGGAACTTTTTGGGTTGCCGGTTGGTTGTTAGTCAGTCTTTTCCTTTTGTGGGGTCTGTCCAGTTGGTAAAGAATTAGAATACTATTTGGACTGAGAAGCCCCTGGTAATTCGGACTGGACAGGACTCCAGGTCCTGGACCAGTCGGCGGCAGGTCACGGCAGTTACGGGGGCTTTGCATCGTTTGGACGCAACACGACGGATTGAGGCCAGATCCCGGTCCAGGTGGTCATGCTGCAGCGAGAATTTCGGGCAAAGAACTTTCCTGATTCTTTTTTCAGGAAAGTTCTCGATATGTTTGCGAAGCCACCGGGGGGAGTTTTGGGGTTGGCGGCTACTCTGCTACACCTAGAGTAGTTTTCGGGGCCTTGCAGGGTAGGATTGGAGCTATTTCGGGATCCTGGGTAGTATATAGGTCAGTAACACATTTCTTTTGTCCTCTTCGACAGCGGGTTTGTTTCGATCGCGTTCGGCTTTTTGTCCGCGCGATCGATAAGATGGCGGGCTCGTGGGTCTGATGTTCGGTCGGTTGTTTCGGTCGTGTTTCGGCATGATCGATATGGTGGTGGAATGCGGGGGGACGAACTCTGTGCTGACAAGTGGAGATTCGCAGCCACTTGCAAACAATGGTGACGCTGTAATTTCTTGCTGTCTTCTGTAATAAAGCCATATGGCTTTTCTTACTACGTGATTTGCACTATTGTGTGGATTTCGTGTTTGTTTTCTGTCATGTATTGCTTTTTTCTGTCATGTATTCCTATTGCTGTATTGCTCCATCTATTGGTGGGGAGCAACAGTGTTTCTTTCAAGTTTTAACCGCACTCTTGAGTTTGCACAGAAAAGTTGTGACTTACTCGTACCCTTCTTCAACCATCGGAACAGGTGCTGGTCCAGTCCAGTCTGGAAAAGAACAGTCCCCACAACTGGGTCAAGGGCCCAAGGCTACTGTTGGTCATGTTGTTGCATGTGGCTAGAACAAACAATTGGCCGACCGTGTTGATGGCCCATTTGCCACCTACCCTGTCTCCTCCTCTTCCTCCTCCTCCTCCTCCTCCTACTCGTCCTTCTCCTCTCCCTCCTTCTTCTTCATCTTCTCCTCCTCCTACTCCTCCTCCTCCGCCTCCTGCTCTTCCTTCTCCTCCGCCTCCTGCTCCTCTTCATCATTTAGCCCAAGCTCACTGCTGGGCACATACTGGAAGGCTTCCTGAAGTGGAAAGCTCCACCTGCTGGAAACTGGGTACAGCATCCCTTTAGAAAAGTGAGAAATTGAGTTAATACCTGCATGATTAGCATGATTAGCACAATTAGCATGATCAGCGCTGAGAGAAACGAAAAATGATCTAGTAGTTTACCAGAGTGGCGTGGGACTACTTGCCCAGCAGGGGCAAAAATGAATTAAAGAATAAAAATAAAATAACGAGAAAACTAGGGCGCAGTCAGGGTTTGAGTTTGAAAATGCACTTGAGGCAAAAGGGCCTGTAATGGTGAATGTATATGACCTAGGTTTCGGGTCCGGTGGGGTCACGTGGGGGTGCGTTGTGTTCGGGGGAATGCCTGAAGTGCATTTTCAAACTGTTTTCGTGACTGAGCCAAAGTTACCCCTAAAATAATACTCTGTTTGACGATATATTGTATCCTCAAACAGAGCTGCCCGGTAAACCGTAGGCAGAGAGGGAGAAGAGAACAACAAACGAGGGGCTGTGATAAACTGTTTTGTCGGAGTTTATATATATATATGTATATATTTTCCCGATTTGGCAAAGGATTTCCATGTGACTCTGAGGCAAAAGATGTTCAGTTTACTTTTTCTGCACAACTGTCACAGCGCACTTCTTTTTTGGATTTTTTGGATTGCTTTTTTTTTACGGGGACCTTCCCTGGCGCTTGCCTGCCAGGCCGCCCAGCCAACCAAGGTGATCCCAGCAGCCCAGTTGGTAGCACAGAAAACTAGAAAATTATTACACTAACCCAAATGGTCTTGTCTTGAAGCTGGTGCATGGAGAGAGGTACACGGTGAGAGAATCACTGTCCTAGTCATTATGTGATAATTGTGATCTGACTTGGCCGTTTCAGAAACCTCATATCATGTTTTCCAGCCTGGTGTGAGCTCCACTAGGCCACTGATACTCAACCACTGCAACGAGAATCCAACATTTCAAAATTTCAGTACAAATATTAATCGCCCGTGATTTTTTCAAAGACCTGTTTGCACCCCACAACCCGGAGAAGCAAGCACACCCGGCTGTGTCAGATTGAGGAGTTTCTCCAGCCCCTGAGTAGATCCCTTTCCCCGGAGCAGCGGGAACGCCTTGAGGCACCTGTAACCAAGAACGGGATATGGATGGCCCTCCTGCAGATGGACAAGGAGAAAACTCCCAGGCTGGATGATCTCCCAAAGGAATTCTGGGAGACAATGTGGGACTGCATGAGCCCGGACCTCGTGGAGTATTATAATGATGTCTGGCAGACAGGAAGCATGGGGGAACTAGTGGGCCAGGGGGTGCTGTCCCTTCTCTACAAAAGGTGGATTTAAAAAAAAAAAAAAATGAAACTTCATGCACAGGGCTTCGTGCTTAATGGCGGGATAAGAGGACCCTGGACCCTGGACCCGTCGTTTTCAGAATAGGAAGGGCCGTGACACGGAAGGATAAAAGGGACCCTGGGTCTTAAACCACCAGTGGCGCTTCCAGCCATTGCGGTTCGGCGGCTCGAAGCGCGCAACTACCGTCGCGTTAACGGGAATCGCCCGCGGCCGATAGCTGGGCCAAGTACTGGTGGTTTAAAGGGTAGACCCCTGTGGAGCTGAGCCTGCCACACTCAGAACATCGTATCTGAGCAGGGACTGGGTTGTGTGACCTGTACAAAGCGACGAGGGAGATCCCTCAGCTGGGTGCGGGTATCACCAGGAGGAAACCGTGGCAATTCGATATCATGCCGCAGACGAACTCATGTGACTCAGAAAGGGGTAATTGCTGCACGACAAAATCGACGACAACATGGTGGCATCATCGGGCCCTTTGATCTGCATGTCTATGTTTTTCGAAACTTAAATGTTTTTCGGTGTTTAATTTGTTTAAATTAGTTTTTGTAGAAAAAAGCATGCGGCTAGTAGGCTGTGCCGGACATGGTTTTTCCACCTAAGAACATTGAGAAAGAAAGTATATATTCGTGGGGGATGTCGAACCCAGTACAACTTCAGCAGCAGGAGTAGAAGGGCTGTAATGGGCGAGTGTTGTACGCCCATCATGTGATGTGGTTTTCCATGAGATGTAAACTCCGACTATATTACTTTCGAGTAACTCTTGATGAGCCAGGTGAACAACTCTGCAGTAGTGCTTTGGAACACTCACCTGGAGGCGTCGAGGTGATGCGCATGCAACTCATCGCACTTGACATACCACGTCGTGCTTCCACCTATATGCTAAGTATTCAAACAAGCCAGTCATATCTATGATTATTTAACTATTGTTTTGGGATCAACTGATGATGATCTCCTTTTGTGAGGAGTTGAGCCCGCCAAGTGTCATTGGCGATTTCACCGCGATTCGTGATAGCAATTACCACTTCGAGAAGAGTCGTCTGGACGTGCGGAGTATCGGCGTACGGAAGTACACCTCGCACTTTACCTTAATTGCAGTTTCGACTCGAAGGATTCAAGGTGCACATGAGGGCCGCTACTCCAACCTGGACTAAGTGCGCTTCGTGCTTGGCCGGGGTGAGCTGCCTCTATCGACGGACTCAAGGCGCATGTACGGGTGGGGGCGAGGCAGAGGCAGGGGAAGGTGGTCAGGGTGCAGTCGATATTGGATGGAGACACCGGCAGGTATGCAAACACCTCCGGGTAACACACCAGTACAGGCAGACATCCAGACACCTGCTCAGCCTATGCAGATGCCAGCAATGCCAGTTGCCGCGCGACCGAATATGCAGATGCCATCTGGGCCTCCGGGGTACTTTCCATATGGATGGCGGCAGCCGACACCACCACCTCCTCCAGCGTGGAATTATGGACAGTGGCAACCGAGTGCGAACTCCTTTCCCGGACCAGGGCAGAGAGCCTGGTTTATGAAAGAGCACTTGGATCTGGTCGAGAAGTGCAAGACGAGAGACCTCACAGATGAATCTAAGAAGTCTTCACATGGAGAGTCGAGCGCTGTTGCATCATCAAGAGGCGACGCCAAGAAGGGTAAAGGGAGAGACAGCGTGGACGACAACAATACTCGTATCAAAGCATGGATTGCCAACACATTCAACGGATCCTTGAAGAAGATCGTCAATAAGTTGGATGACGTGGACAGGAAGACGACCGTGGCTCTAGACGAGAAGGGTGAGAAGAATGTGAAAGAGGAACCTGCCACGGAAGGAGCCTCAGGGAGTAATGAGAAGAGGAAGAGGGACTTTGGATCACCGTTAATCTTCAGATCGAGATCGAAATCAAGATCGAAGAGTGCAGGCGGAGAAGTGAAGATGAGGCCGCTTCGCATTAATATCTTGGACGATGAAGACTCTCATCAGGATAAGATCAAAGAGAACTCGCACATTGATGAGAAGCTTGAGATGGCGGCTAACACGTCTGATGGGAAGCAACTAGAGGAGACTAAGGGAATGCTGCAGGCATTGATGACTGGGCTGAACTCAAATGCGGCTAGCAAGGGTTGCGCTGCAAGTGAGACAACAATTGAGGATATCAATAGCGGGAAAGGAACAAACGATCTCGCTGCGAACGACGAAGCGAAGAGGGACAAGGGAAGATCAGTTGAGATGCAGAACGAGGTACTAGAGTACATGCGATGCAGGCTAGACTACTACATGGCCAAGACATACAAAAAAATCAGGGCCCTGTGTAAAAGTAAGGACGCGCGGTGTGATAGGAAGGATAAAGGAGCGTGAGACCTGGCAAAACAAGACACAAATCAGTTTTCGAAACTTGTCAACAGCACCAAAAATGATGACAAGGATCCGACCGACGAGGATACTGGATGACAATATGGTTAATGGAGATGGAGAGGAATCTGAAGACGAGGACAACGACGACATCACGGGAAATTAGATCTCTAAATGAAACTTATTACGGCTTCTCAAAAGATTGAGTCGATGGTTAGAACAGTCTCGATGCAAAGATAGGATGTTTATTAATGAGGTCGAGTCTTCCTTTCGTTTTATAACGATCCTTGCTTGTGTGTCTGGATCCTGAGTTGGGGATGCACTTTCATAAAGTACTGGCTTAACTTAAGTGATGACGAACTGGGTAGAATATGCTCAGCTGAGTCATATGTCTACGTCATTATCTCACCTTTTTGTAAACAGACCTTTGTCGGGCAGACATGACGTAGCCTCCATGAGCAATGGATGAAGCATAAATTAGGAACGAAAAAAAAGTCTACCTGTAAGATCGATAAATGACTCAGGAAGAGAGGTTGTGCATCGTATATGCCGATTCCACTTTGGTTCAGCGGGAAGTCTGATCTACTGCAACGTGAAAAAATGATTATTAAGATTGAGAATCCCGGTCTGAATATGAAAAAGCAGAAGAATAAGAATAAACCCCGGCAGCATGAGACACGAGCAATCCTCTTCGAATTGGTTAAGTGCTCGAGTGGATATTCCCCTGATTTTTGTTGAAAAAGAACTTGACATAGATCCAATGATGAATCTGATGAAAATCCTTTAGTTAGCAAGGAAGAATAAAAGACCCTTGCATATAACGAATAATGAGGGCAACAAATGGGGAAATGGGTGGTGTGTGATTTCACTTGTATACGGGGACAGTAAAATCACTATCGAGGGGAATAAGTTTCTGCTTAAAGATGCAACGCAGATTATCGAGAAAGGAGGGAATTGGACAATCGAATGTCTAATCAAAAACAAGTCGAACGCCGACCGAAGGAAGTCGGTTGTCCTGTCACTTCTACACGCACCATGGAAAAGGAAGGAACTACGGTATAAAGAGAATGATGAGTTGTTTCAGCTGTTGTAAGAGAAAATATCTCCAGAGAATTGAAACAAAGACTGGGAATAAATCCAAGGATCAGATTGATTGTGAGACTCCCCTTTTGTACTAGTGTTGACAAGAGAGAGGTAAGGAAAAAACTTTGTGAGTGGTTGTAGGAAGAGATACCAGATACTAACTTTGTGGACCTATTGCAGAACAAGTTGAGGGTGGTCTGGACGAAAGCCTGATCTGTAGCAGATGTGCTGCATAACCATAAGTATTTCGCGAAATTTGAATGCGGATGCACTTTGTAGGGATTTTGACTTGCCCCTGCGTAGCATTCTGTTCGCATTCAGTTGCCGAACGTGAACGTTCGGGAACGAACACGAACATATTTTTTTATTTTTTATTTTTATATATAGAGAGAGGTCAGGGAGGGGGGGGGGGTCCTCTTCTTCCTCCTCCTCTTCTTCCTCCTCCTCTTCTCAGTCCTTGTCCTCCTCCTCCTCCTCCTCCTCCTCCTCCTCTTCTTCCTCCTCTAAGTGCTCTCCCTCCTCCTCCTCCATTGCCGTGGCCTCCTCCTCCTCCACCTCTTCTTCGTCCTCCTCCTCCACCTCTTGTTTGTCCTCCTCCTCGCCCTCTTCTTCTTCGTCCTCCTCCTCCACCTCTTGTTTGTCCTCCTCCTCGCCCTCTTCTTCTTCGTCGTCGTCGTCCTCCTCCTCCTCCTCCTCCTCCTCCGTCGTCGTCCTCCTCTTCGACTTCCTCCTCGTCCTTCTCCATCGCCACGACCTCCTCCTCCC